AGAAAAGTGCAAGATACTGAAGCTAGAGTGCAGACAAAGGATTGCAGAGCAATCACTGCAAAGTGATGTCAGCTGCTGCTGTAGAAAAGATCCTGAAGATTATTGTCCATGTGCTACACAAGTCATGACTGTGTAAGTACATCTCCCCAGATGTGGGATAAAAACGAAACATTTTGCCTGACATCACTGAAGATCATTGCTTTTCAGAAGGGAGAACATGGCCACAGATGAAGTCAGTTAGGTGGAAAAATTGTGGTTATTTAACTGACTAAGGGTCTATAGGTGGAAAATGTCAAAAAAATAAAGGGATAATCTGAGTTTTTTTATGTTTATCATGCATAAAGTAAAAAGGAAAATGCTTAAGCAGGGAATCTACTTGCTAATTTTAATAAAAGCTCCCAAATGGCATGGATGCCAAAGAGCTGGAAGAGATTATTAGGCTGCTTATGGAAACTACATTTTAAGAGGAAATTTTTGAAAATGTGTCAGGCACAATTCATTAAGGGTAACGTATATTTTATTTTACCCTGTCTTCCACTGACATAAGCTTAAATTTCTTTTTCATTTAAGTGGATAAACGTAATTCTTTGGGGATGCTATTGTAATTTACAGGGCCTTAGTAAAGGAGAAATAGCAGTTTAACAAGAAAGGGGGTTGTGTGGTGCATAGTCATAGTTTTCAATAAAAATAACTGTTAAATGGCTTAATATATGTCTCTCTGCTATGGCTTGGCTGAATTCTACTGCCTTGCTGTGTCAGACAGCTTCCTGTCTCCTATGGAAACAGCTATTGCTGATGAAGTAAGTATGGGAATATGGAAGTGTGAAAACTGCTTGTCGTGCGTTACTGTAAATATGCCTGAGTTTTGGCAGACACTAAAAAATGCTCAAAGATAAGCAAACATATTCATTTGAAAATATAGATGAGTGTGAACAGGCTTGGGTTTTGTGTTATATTTATCCATGCAACAATAATTAATATGCAGCTATGCCTGAGTAGCAACATACCCTTCCAAAAAAGGTGGTCCATCTTTTGAATGTATGTACCAAAGGAAGCATGGTTAATTCACACTGACTTGAGGTTTTTCCAGCAATTTCTTGAAGTGATAAAAGCAGAGAAGTGAGATTAGGGTTGCTGGTTGCAAAGATGTTTCCTTGAAAGCAAAGGGAAACATTTAGTCCAGAAACAGTGAATATGATACATATTGTTATAAAAAAAATGCATCATTTACGCAAAAAGCTGAAAGATTAAGAGTATGTTACTGCATAGAACTTGTGAATTATATGGAGATATCTTACTTTATACAGCTGCTGGAAGAGAGAAAGCCTTCTTGTAATTCTAATGTTACGGAGATTTTTTAAGGAGATGAGCAATTTAAAATGGTCTAAGATTTAATTTAGATATGTATAAAATAATATGCTTATGAAATTACTTTTAATGCAAATACAAATGACAAAATTACTTGTTTAAAGGATTTGCAAAGTAATAATGAATGAGATATTGGATACCTTCTAAGGTGATGCTTAATAATGAAATACATTTCACATACAGGCTGACAGGGGGCACACAGGGATGCACAGAGACACTCTTTCCCTTTGAGAGCACAGAACCAAAGAATCATAGAAGAGGTTGTGTTGGAAGGGACCTTTAAAGATTGTCTGGTCCAAATTCCCTGCCATAAGCAGGGACATTCTCAATTAGATCAGTTTGTTCAGAGTCCTGTGTGACCTGACCATGAATGTTTCCAGGGATGGAGCATCCACTGCCCGTCTGGGCAATCCAGTGTTTCACTACTCTTATTATAAAAAACTTTTTCCTAATGTCACATCTATATTTAAAACTGTTTCTCTTTCTAAATTATTTTCCCCTATTTTTTTATAAGCCCCCTTTAAGTATTGCCAGGCCACAATGAGGTCTCCCCAAAGCCTTTTCCACTTTTCTCCAGGCTGAACAACTTGTTCAGCCTTTCTTCATCAGTGGTACTTTTGTAGTGCTGGACTACCTCAGCAGGTCTATGTCCTTCATGGATAATCATATGGGTAGTAATTACTAGTTCAGAAGTTATTTCACTGCCACCCATGGCACATATACATTTATTAGGAATATTAGTCTTTGTAAATGTCAGGTCCTCTGAGTTTTCATTAATTGTAGTAGTCAAACTAGTAGCCATGTTGCCTCAGTATAGGACAATATATTGCAGTGCAGACGTAATTAACAAAATAGTTTTAATGGACTTTAAACCTGTGTTCCTACCCACACAGGTTTGCTATGAACATTGGTGAGATTTACTAGTTCTTAGGGATCTAATTGCTTATAGCCTGTGTCCTGCAGACAGTGAACAAGTACCCACTAACACTTCTGCTCACCTGAGATACATATAGGTGTTTTTTAAGAGGACATAATATTTGGTTCCTATAGGTCCTGCATAAGGGTAATCTTTTCATCGCTTGTAATGAGGGTATTTAGAGCCTCCTTCTCTTTTGTTTGGGCTTCTCTCCTCCCTTTAATTTTAATTTTAATTTTTTTTATATATATATATCTATATATATATATCTATATATATATATATATCTCCTATTTCTTTTTATATCTTTTTTTTCTTTCTATTTCTAAACTAATGTCAAAGCTCTGTAGTTAGTAGGTAAAGGTACAACTTTTGTCTGTTCCTGTGCTATTTTAGCTTAATTTATTTGTAGAATTTATTTGTGAAATTTCTTTAAGGCCTTAGATTCTCAGTCTAGTTGCATTAGTAAGTTACATAGCAGATGATTTAATGAAAGTTTTCCGTAAAAGTGAAAAATACCCATTAGAAGCAGAAAAATGTTACCATTTTTCAAATAACAAATTTTGAAATAAAATCAAAATAGCTCTTAAAATAGGAGCAAATGCCCTCTTTATTTTGAAAAGCAGAATTAAAGTATTTTTGTGGCCAGTGTTAAGAGAATGCTCTGATTAAAAAGAATTTATGAGGGATCCCCTGAACATTCACATTTGAAAGTGGAGAATGAAGGCTTTTCCCTGTGAAGATTTCTGATGAGCTAGACTCATGCTCTTTTCCCAGTCTGCAGATGTTGTTTTTGTCTAAATTGTAAAAGTTCATGCTCTGAAGAACTAATGTCTTGGTTTAAGACACTTTAAAGAGGTGTACATTTTAAAATGAGTTACCTCTTCTCCGTTTCAGCCATAAGGAACAAATGCAAGTAGGTGTAAGTGAAAAAGTTTGCTAGGAAGCAGAACAGCAACAAGCGAAAAAAAACCAAATTGTAAATAATCCGTAGATATAAAATTGCTAAATCTCACGAAGCCCTGGGGAACAAAGAGAGGCCCAAAGTGGTGGAAATAGCATTTACGAGATGGTGCCTGCCAGGGTGCCCATGTGGCTTGAAAGACACAGGGAGAATGGCATCAGCTCTCTACCCCCACAATGGTGTGTTCCATCGACCACACCACCTGGGAGACAAAGGGAAAGAAAGATTGTGGACAGAAAGAATCTTCCTGGTAAAGCAGGAACTTTTGGAGCTGCTCTAGTGGAAGATAAGCGGCCACCTGCTGCATCCTCTTGCTGCCTCCTGGGCTCTGCTGGTGTTGGTGCTGATGCCCACCACACTGCACAAGTGTTGGGGATGGGAGAAGAGCTGGTCTATTTGTGTAGGGTGACCTGGTCCCTGGGACAGGTGTACAGAGATCATTCCAAAACTGTTTTTATTGCAAAATGCTGTTTTTCCGAATGCCTACCATTGCAAGCCCAGGAAAAAAAAACAACAAACCAAAACCAATGGTGACCTCCTTAGAAGAGGAGCCTCTGCCTTCAGCAAAGGCTGCAAGCAGAGAACTGCCTGCTTCCTGGCTCCAGGTTTTAAGGGATCTTGGCAATGTCCTCCCCACATTATCCATTTTCTGGCTGCAAGTTCTTAAAGAGATATTAACAAATTTTGGGCACAGTGACATGTGAATACAGTAACATTTTGTGTTATCCTGACAACTGCAAATGATTTGGGATCAGATCTGCACAAAGTCCTGCATGGTTCCTTCTTTAGGAGATTGTGGTATTTGTCTCTTCCAGAATGGCTGTTGCATTTTAGGTATAATTTTCAATTATAGGTTATAATTGTTATTAGGTTATTATTGTTATTAGGTTATTTATTCTGTTACTCTCATATAGTCATGGAGATGTATGCGCATCCATATTTACTGTTTTTATCTTGCATCCCCAATTTTCATATATAAAATCAACACACTGGACCCAGTTTTTTAGTATCTCACTATGGTAGTGACCAAGCTGTGTTTATAAAGATAGATAACACTGGTAAAAATATATGATATTGAGGGTGACAAAATCAGTCAAAGAAAGAGCTGAAGAAACATGTTTTCCCTCTGCTATTTGTAAGCAAGATTCTGAGGTGAATCAGACTGAAGGTGATGCAGTACCATGGCATTATCTGGGGACCACTGAACACCTTGCTGAGTGCCTTGAAAGAAATGGAGTTGTACTGAAGATCAAAGCAGTGAAGGTATACTGCAGGAAAAAGAAAAAGAAAAAAAAGAATTTGAGCTAGATCAATAGTTTATGGGTTGGTTTCTCAGTAAATTCTATTAAACTAATTACGTGCCATAGTACTTAGTTTTACCTTTGTAAAATGTATGGCAGTTTCCAGCCTTTCTACGGCAGTACTGATTAAAAGTGTTGGGGTTTTTTTTTGTTTGTTTTTTTGGTGTTGATTTTGTTTGGTTTTATAAATTACATTTCAAAGTGATTCTGTCTCTTTGTCTGTAAGTAATACTCAAATACCTTTTTCTTTAGATTGTATGAGTTGTTGTTTCTCTTTTTGTTACTGTATTCTTTTCTTCCCCTGTAAGGAAAGTGCCATGCTAATAACTGGAAGTTTGTAAACCAGTAATTAATTATATTAGCAATTTTTTATTCTCAGGATCTGATGAATAGAACTGATTTGTAAACCATCATTAAAGCTCACTTTTTTCTGCTCTATTTTTATTTTTAGGAATGTTGTCTCTGCAATTTGAGAGGTGGTGCATTAAAGCAAACTACTGACAAAAAGTAAGTAATATATTCTTCAGAACTGTATGTGCCTATTTTAAACTTTATTTTCAGTCCATTCTCATGTGCAAAGCATTTGCAAGCCTAATTACTTGACAGTGTCCCTTTAAGCTGAATCGTTGCAGAATTAAAATTACTTCTATTGAAATGTGGCACTGGCATTTTGTTAAATAGTTAGATAGTAAAAGTTATATTTATTTTAGTATTTGCACACACTTGCTTGTTCCGAATTTTAATCTGCTGGCCTTTGTGCAAAGAAAGTAAATGAGAGCTCATTTATCATTGTTTGCATGGGCAAGTCTTATCAAACAGCAAAGTGTATTTTCTTTGCTCCTGAAAATTATACAATACTTTTGAACTTCTAAACCCAGTATTTTAAATGAATTAATTTTAATAATATTGAAATAATTTTCAGTTCTGAAGTTTTTTTTTCAAAAATAATTTTGTCAAAAATAGTTTTGCTGCTGACATCATTCTGTTACTATATATGGGTGACAGAACCCTATAGCAAGAAACCCTGACAGCTAAAGTGGAAATATTGCAGCTTAATGATTTTTCAAGCCCAATAGTAGAATAGTCTTTATGCATTTCATAATTCATAATGCAATTCATAATTAAGTGGCTTATCATAGTAGCTTAGCAATATCGTATAGACCTCTTTCTTTCATCCTTTGGAATGCAATGGTAAGACATGATCTAGGTATGACACATCCTTTCACTTTCCAGGAAAGAATTTATGTATCAGGGGGCTGCATTTGATTTCGGAACTCTGGTAGTCTTCCAGTTAGAAGGTTTTTTTTTTAACTCAGGCCATATTTTGCCTTCAGAAAACATTATGATTGTAGCCATTTTAATGGAGATTTTTGCCAGTACATGAAAAGTCTCAGCTGCTTTTTAGTTCTGTTTTAAATTCCCTGAAATCTGTTACTTGGTTTACTTGCTAAATAAAAAGAGAATTACAAAAATACTATCTCAATAGAATTTATCATGCCCTTTTGATATTTGCTGTTAGTAGCTTCCAGGCTGCATCTTTAAAAATATATGTATCCTTTTTTGTATATCAATTTAAATTCTTTTGAAATGTCTCATAAGTTATATTATGAGGAAAGTCTACAGAGGTCTGCATAAAATCACTTTTCTTGTATAATTATATGTAAGATTCTCTCACTCTGTAGGTTAGTTTTACAGATTTATAAAATGGGATTTCTTTAAGAGCAGTTGAACTCTGGTTTTTGTTTCCATAACATCTTATAGTTACACAATGTGGAGTTTTTAATCTGTCTTTCAGCATTAGCTATCATTTCAAAGTTTTAAGTTTTTAGAAAGTATGTTACAATTTTATCTTTTTTCTCCAACAGCTGTAAAATCTGTCATGTGAATTTCCTTTGCTCTTTCTTTACTCTGTACATACTAATTAGAGATAGAGGAAGAGCATGTCATACTTTTTAGAAGCTGATGGATCAGACTGGTATGAGTGCATGCAGTAAGCAGTTTGCCATATAGGAAGGCAGAGAGTCCTTCTTTTCAGCAGAAAACAGCAATTGTTTTGAGTCTGTTAGGTTGAGAGACATCAGAGGATAAATGTTTAGTTGAAGATTGATTGAAGAGGCTTTGTATTTATTGCATTTCTATCTGATAAAGCTTAGATGGTAAGACAATGTGGTTTAGCAGGTGGGCAGGTCACAATGAAAGGAAAATGGCTGTTATAAAAATTGTTTTAAAAAGTCTCAAACGAGACTCTTTTCTCTAAGTTAAAAACAGGAAAAAACTGTCAGTATAATAAAAGGATCCATCTGCAAGCTTTATCTGTTTTTATTTGGGTTGAACTGTAAAACTTGCTAATTGATACATCATCTTTATGTACAGCTCTTATTTCACACTTTGACCAATACAACTTTAAAGTTGTAATTGTCCTTGTGTGTCATATTATACTTTGACACATGTTTTTGTCAAAGATGGCTTATTGAAATATTGCTGCTCCAGTGTAGGAAAGAGAAATTATTTCTGTTTTCTGCATCACCCTCCATCTCCTTCAGATTCAGTCTGTTCTGTTCCTGTTAATCTGTTAAAATGCTCGTATAATATGTGTTTCTTCAAAATGTACAAGAAGTGATGTGGGGCAAGCATTCAGAGCTTACAGAAATACAGCAAATGGGGTAATGAAAACAGACATACACTAAATGACAGGGAATAAGGCAAATATGAATCAAAAAATGGAAATATTTCCCTTTATTCAGATGTACTTCTTGTCTACCCCAAAAATATTTTTGAGGTAGCCTCAGAAGTCTGTTTTTTAATAGAAGTATCATTAACTTCTCTTTTGCTTCATGAAATACACGGTTTCAACATTAGTTTCAAACCTTTTAAAATTTCTCTTAGCTTTTCTTATTTTGAGATTCATATATCAAGAGGATTTGGAGTGCTTTCTGATGCATATAGGAAGCATGGATTATCATCTGATAAACCTCCTGATGTTGCATTGAAGTCTTAAATTTAATGCTGGTCCTAGGTACTAGCATGTGCATTTGCTACTAAAAGAAATCCAGCTTGTGCTGGGCATTGTACTGGTGGCTAGATCACTTTGCTGCTTGGATGCCGTTGTGTCTATAGGCAGAAGGCCTTGATAGCATTTACATTTCATTTTGCATTTTGATACATTGATTGTAATCACATTTGTTGTGTAAGAATGGTTTCTCAGGTCTGAGTAGTGCTAATAATGAGTAATAAATGCTGAAACAATAAATTACACATGAAGCAAATAGTGTGGTGTTCATGTATGTCCCTAAATCGTGCACCTGCAAAAACTTCTTACTTAAATAAAAAGTAAAATATGTGCAAAAATAGTTGCACTAAAATTTCAGTCTGAAATTCAGTTGACAAGAAGTGGTAGTGTTGCAAAATTTGTTAAAACGTGTTAATGAAGCTTAAGAAAGCCTAATAAGGATGGGTACCTTTAAGAAAACCAAACCAAAAAGAAAAGCCAAATACATAGAAAGGAACAGCTTAAGCGTTTGTGTTTCTATGAGTTTTTTTGGTGGTATTTTTGACTTGCCACTTTTCACAGGTGGGCACATGTAATATGTGCAATTGCCATCCCAGAAGTCAGATTTGGTAATGTCACAGAGCGTACTCCGATAGACACTAGCAGAATACCTTTGCAAAGATTAAAATTGGTGAGTAGTATATTAATATATGCTCCATATTTGCATTGCTATTAAGGTGTTCCAATATTTGAAATGTATTAAAAATCTGAATTGTGATAGTTATTGCCATGTAAAGAGCTGTAACTTATGTTTAAGGTAAGAAATAAGATATCCAGGGTTTTACCAAGATGGGCCTTTTGAAACATAATAGCAGTTCATTAACAGTGGTAACAGTCTTCGGTATTCTATTAAATGTAATTCAAACCTGTTCCTCCCCAAGAGAAAAATAATAAACTTGACCAGTATCAACTGTGAAAGTTTCATTGTTGGAGCTGTATTGGTGAAGAAACCCAAAAAGACAGGGAACACTACACAGTACATATTTTTGAGGTATTTTTATTAGTGATTTTTGCCTTGACTGTTTATGAAGGTGAAAGGATGAGTGATCTGTTTGTTACATGGTCACTACCATCAGGGTATTGAAAAATATAATACAATAAATCACACATTAAACAGTGTCATTCAGGAATACTGAAGTACTCAAGAAGAGGATATGCACAAGTGCAAAATGTGTTTTTTTGCTATGTTATGCAATAATTACTTAATCTGTCAGTGTGTGCATGACTATGCTGTTGTCAGATAGAAAGAAAGTGATTAGTGGCACACTCAAAGTCTTAGAGAAAGTGTAAGTTTTCTGGATCACCCCACATGGTTTCCAGTGTGGTCTACCTTACTTTGAATTCACTTATTTTGAACTATTAATATTTTCACTCTATTTATACTTTAATTTCATTTTATTCCATTCATTATTTTTTGTCTTTGGTAGCTGTGTATTTAAGTGTGGCAATGTGTCTTGGAGTGGTATAAAATTTATAGCCTGTCCTTCAAAATTCTGTTTTGAATTTTTGTTCAGAATTTTAAAATATTTGGTTTTCACATATCCTTTAGAAAATAATTTAAAAGACATATGTAAAGATTGTGTATGTATAACATAAAAATATAAGGCAACTTGAAAATTGTTAATTCAAGGGCTGAAAACACAGAAATCATGGAAATATTGTTGGAAATGACCTCCAAGATCATCAAGTCCAACCTTTGACTTATTAACAGAAAGCTCACTGGGGACACCTTATCTCAGTCTGCCATATCTGCTCATTTTCTGAACCCTTCCAGGGATGGTGACATCATCAAGCTTCCCTAGGGAGGCTGTTCCAAAGCTTAACCACCCTTTCAGTGAAGAAATTTCTCCTGCTATTGAACCTAACCTCTGCTATCTGGGACAATTTGAGGCCATTATGTCTTGTCCTACTGCTTTTTACTTGGCAGAAGATGCTACCACACCCTCATTTCAGGCAGTTGCAGAGAGTGGTAAGGTTCCTTCTGAGCCTGCTTTTCTCCAGGCTACACAACCCCAGCCCCCTCAGTGAGTACTCACGGGACTTGTACGCCAGGCCCTTTCCCAGATTTGCTGCACTTCTCTAGATATGCTTGAGCACCTCAATAAACTTCTTGGATCTCAGACTTCAAGGTGTGGCTTCACCAGTGCTGAGGACAGGGAGAAAATCCCTGGCCCGGTCCTTGAGGCTACACTGTTGCTGGTACAGGCCAGGATGTCATTGGCTTTCTTGGCCACCTGGGCACTGCTGGCTCCTGTTCAGCTGCTGTCACCAGCACCCCCAGGGCCTTTTCCTCTGGGCAGCTTTCCAGCCACTCTGCCCCAGCCTGTGGCACTGCCTGGGGCTGTTGTGACCCAAGGGCAGGACCCAGCTCTGGGCCTTGTTGAACCTCACAGCACGGCCTTGGCCCATGATCCAGCCTGTCCAGATCCCTCTGCAGAGCCTGCCTGCCCTCCAGCAGATCAACACTCCCACACAGCTTGGTGTCATCTGCAAACTGGCTGAGGCTGCGCTTGATTACCTTGGCCAGGTCATAGAGGTATTAAAGAGAGATGGCCCTGATTCTTGGGGAACACCACTTGTGACTGGCCACCAACTGAATTTAAATTCATTCATTCATTCATTCATTCATTCATTCATTCATTCATTCATTCATTCAATCATCAGATGTTGAAATGTATTCTATGGACTGTCCATGACTTAAACACTATTAGACAAACAGCAACCTTTTGGAAAAATGTTTGAATTAATTTTAAATTATTGATTATGAAGGTGTGGACCAATGTTCTCAAAATTAAGTGATTTACAAATTTAGGTTGTTTCTGCTGAATATGAACAGTTGAGGAATTAGTAGATTTTCTTCTATTTTTTCCTTCAGTGGATGGAATATTGCTTTTAGTCCTTACTGCTTTTTCAGTTCTTGATGTCTACCTCAATATAAAATTACATTGAACCGCTTATATTGTATAAAGCTGTATATAAGCCTATGGTGTCTTGCAAATATATCAATGTTTAGAAATAGAGTACTTGCCTTCCTTAAATCTGTTTCCTAAAGAAGAGTTTGTGTGGAATGAATGTTGTGAAGAAGGAACTTAGCTGAATACAGTAGAAATGAGAGGCAGGATACTTTAGAAGAGTCACAAATGCAATACTGTGGCAGGTAGAAGACAGCCTTTCTGTGAGGGAAGGAAGCACCAGAATCCTGGTTGACTCATTAAACCTTATTATTCCAAGATCTAATTTCTGACATTAAATTTATAATGAAATAGCTACATTTATATTAATTTAAGGGAAGTAGGCAGTTTGACCATTTCAAAAGGCTCTGTAATGAGCAATAAAATGTAGCTTCTTTGGTAAAGGAGCAGAAGAAATCCACCCTAAAAACACCAGCAGAGCGTCTGTTTTTAATTTTTTTACTTTTGTTGCAAGTAAATTACTGCATCTGATGATTTTACATAGTTCAGTTTCAGAGTGAATACCCTATCTAAACTGAGTTTCCAGAACTATATGATGTTACTCTGTATTTTAAAAATAAAAATTAATGTGTGTACATGTATATGTATGTGTATATGTATATGTATATGTACATGTACAAATACATAGTAGAATTGTATGGATACTTTTATTTTCTTAAAAAAACTATATCAAATACATCTTGTAACATATTTGTCATTTCCTGAAACTGAAAATTGGGGTTCCTACTGCTCTATAGAGATTGGCTGGCAATAACCTTTTGTGTATGTTCTAGCCTTGTGTATATATGCCACATTATTCTCGATTCAAACATGATCTCTAAGTTAATCTTCAGTTCCTGACTGTGATGCTACAGAATAATAAGCTCTCATACCCACTGGCACTGGATGTTTTTCCTCAGGGGAATCCCAGGGATTACATGCAAATGTATTCTTTCTCAAGGAATTCCTGCCTCTTCTTTCCTCCTCTCAACCCCACTTCATCCTTATTTTTCATTTATTTCCATTACCACTTGCTCTGTACCTGACAGTAGACAGTTATACCATCTGCCTTGCTGTTAATTTCTGTAAAAGCATAATGAATTTTTCACACCTGGGAATATGTAAGCAATTGATGCAGGTCAGTTTTGCCTTTTGAAATTTTAGGGACTGTCAGTGCTGCTCTTCAGCAGTCAATACCAGCTTCATAGCTGTCCTATTTGATAGATTAAGGACATCTTTGTTCATCTCTCTCCATCATTCAAGCTAGAGAGCTACCAGAGCAAGGGCGAGCTTTGTAAATAATTTCTTGATATTGAGCCTTCATAAGAAGTAGTTTAAAAAAAAATAAAAATGGAGCCTATTTTTATAATCCATTTTGTGATAAAGCATGAGGTATAATAAATAAATGTGGGCTTCCCTACTCTGCCACCTCTCCTTTACAAAATTTAGGATGTGTTTAGTTGATTTTTTTAAAATGAACAAAACACAGTGGAAAAAAATTATAAAGGAACAAATTAAGTTCTAGCATGCAGCCATACCAAAATGATATATTACACTATAGAAGCAAATGGTTTTAGTTGTTTGAAACATTTTCTATCCCTGTCCTCCTTCTTCCTCCCCCCTGAAACAGTAAGAAGCCCAGATAAACAGAATAGCTACTATTTTCAGAGATCTGTAGAGGAGGACCTGACATTTTCTTTAATGTTGAATCTACAAAGAAATAGCAAAGGAAGTAAAAAGCAAATGTTTAATTTTTTACAAATTAAAAAGCATCTGTGCAAACATGAACATATTGGTAGGCTTTTCTTTATTGCTTAGCTAGTGGATGTAATGATTGCTGTTAAATAGTTTCAATTCACTAGAAATTTTGGGTTGAAATCAGTGTGTTTCCTCAGCCTTGCCACTAGTAAATATTCAAGATATACTAATTTCTTCCAGAGTAAAACTCAGTATTTGTGTCATACAAATAGTAGTTTATAGCTTTAAAATTATTTTATTTAACTGTTTCATGTTTGCAAATTACTGGTTGTTATAGCATGCCACTGTGTTTTCAGTTTTCTCTAGCTTTTTCAGTAGGTTACGTATCATGGACCATTACTGCTGAAAACTTACATGACAGTGAAATTTTCATTAAAAATTAAATATTTTGAATTTTTTTTCCTGAATGCAAGTAGACAAATAGAAAATTTGGCTGCTTGTTTTTTTAGGGGAAGAAAAGAAAGTGATACACTCTGGTGAAATCACTTCTATTTTAAGGGCATAAACCCATAATATTAATTGGACTTCAGCTGACTTTTCATGTGAAAGCAAAAGACCTCCTAGGCAACCTCAGTGTTGAAAGCATGCCACAAAGATACTATACCTGTAGTTTTTCCACATTATGTCTGTATTTATACATTTTCTCTTTTTTCCAAATACGTGTAAATGGATAAATGAGATCGTTCTGGTCTCCTTTTGTCAGACAGTCAGGCTTGGTTTCTTCATGTTATGACGTTCAAATCCATCAGACAGTTTGAGTTCAAATACCCACATGGAATAACAATTTGTAATTACCAAGCTAGGAAAGAAAAAACTTGATTATGGATATTAAGTACCAGTTCTAAAATGAAATGGTTGAAGGGATATACCTTATCATATCACACATTATAAGCCAATATTTTTCATAAACTACAGTATGCTG